AAAAAAAAAAAAAAAGAATGAGCAGCACGTGATACAAAACGAGCCTGCGTCACGGGCACACAGCCCCGCCCCGATTTACGGGGTCCGGGGGTGAACTTTCTTTCCAGGGGGGAGTGGCGGGTGGTGAGAACCCCACCATCTGGCCACGTGGCTTCTGGTCCTCATCACCGTCAACCGCTGATACCCAAGACACCCTGTCACTGTCACTCGCCGTGACGTCAGCCCCCATCTCTGCCTGCTTACACTCCCGTCCCTTCCCTGTCCCTCGCTTTTCCGCACAACCACGCTATACATCAAGGGACCCCTCGGGCTCCTCCCACAGCCTCTTTACCTTCAACTTTTGTCAAATTTCTAACTTTTCTGAGCCTCTCGGCCTCGCCTATGAAACAGAAATGGAAACACTCACGCACGGGGTTGCGGTGCGTCACTAGCCCCATGCCTGCACCCCCTCCCACCCAGCTCTGTCCTCAGTGGGCCCCAGCCTCCTGGGCTTCGTGATCGCCCACCCTGTCCGGGGTCCCCGTCTAGCCTGGGCGGCCGGACCAGCTTCCATTTCAGGACCAGCCGCCCGGATGCCTGCAACCCACCTTGACCTCTGCCTTTCCCAAGGTCAACCCCAGTCCTGGTGGACCCGTCTGCAGAGTACGGTCCCAGCTAGGTCCAGGCTGAGTTATGCCCAGAGCACCACCATCTCCAGCACCTGTCCCCTTGCTCAAGTCCTGTCCGCCTCTCCCTGCAAATGAGCACCCCCTGTCCCCCAAGATCACCCAGACCGAATTCCCATATGTCCACCTGCCACCCTCCTCCGCCACCTCGCTCTCCCTCCTGCTCCCCACACTCCAGCCACTGGGACCTTCCAGTTCCTCCAGCACAGGGAGTTTCTCCCCACCCTGGGGATTCTCTGTACATGCTGTACTTTCTGTCCTGAGCACTCCCTATGAACCACCCCCCCTGGTCTTGCCAATGCTTCTCATCTTTCAGGCTTTATCTTAAATGTCACTACCTCAGGGGAGTTGTTCACCATGGTATTCACTTCAAAAAGAGGCATTTAAATAATTATTTGTGTACGAACGCAGGGGATCTGTTTTCTCTGCTGGATGGTAAGCTCCATGGATAGTCATTGTTGTAGATCCAGCGCTGAGAATAGAGCCTCGTACATAAGGGGGCTATAAATAGTCACTAAAAGAATGTGCAAACTTAAGAATAGATGAGTCGCCCACATGCCAGTCACACTGTTTCCCAGCTCAATCGGCCATCAGGCCTGGAGACAAGGCTGCTGGAAACCCAGCCTCCTCTCCTGGCTCCCCACCACCACGAGTGCTTTCACGGTCCCCCCAGATCTCTCTCCAGGGCTTCGAGGACAGGACCAGACAGAGAACCATGTCCAGAATTCCAGGAGGGGATTCAGCAAGAAAACCAGAAGGATGGGGGAGCCCCCTTTCCTCCTGCACCTGTCCAGCTACAGGGCAGAATACATCTCTTGATGTCCATTGTGTTGCTCACAATCCTGGAGCCAGAGAGCTCCTCTCCCCACCAAGGCACCCTCTGCCCCAGGCACCAGACCTTCATTGTGCAAGGCAGAATTCATTTCCTAATCTCTGGTTCCCAACTGGCTTTTCTCCTCTCCCACTCCATAGCCAGATCCTCGCAGGAAGGCAGGGGTCTCTGCCGCAGGGGCCCAGAGCTCTGCCCCCGGGAGAGACCTACAGAGGTTAGGCCAGTCACCTTTCTTGGAAAGAGCCAAGGAAGAACTTTCAAACGAGGCATGGGAATGGTCTTGATTAATGCTCAGGTCGAAAGGAGAAACTGGATACATGTTTTCTCCCGGTTACAGGGGCAAGGCGCCCATTCTTAATGCTGTCATTCACAGACAGAATACCCAAGGTTTTTATTCTGAAGAATTCATGAAATTTAAATGTCATCTTCAATCAGTTTAAAGAAGGGGATCTAACAAAGCTCCTTACCCTCTTTGGTCGTATCTGTTCTGATAGACAGCCCTGCCAGGGCTGGGGGAAGGGGGGGGCACACAGCAACAATGGAAGGACCATAAATCTTCTGGGGAAACAGAGTGTATACACAGAGCATGCGCATGAAGGAAACAAGTCCAGCTGAGTGCTCAAGATTACATCAAGTACATCAAGAATAGCTCTTTGAGAGCCAAGAAGACTGCCTACACTTACGTCCTGTACCCAGAACAATGGCAGCTAGTAGATGCTCCGTACGTATTTCTGATTAAACAGGTGACTGGTGAGCGTCCTGCTTTTGGAAGAAAGAGTCTTCCTGGTCTATTAGTAGCCTGTTCTATTATTAGCTCAGCCTATTACAGCCCATCCTGAGCAGGGAGCTCCTGGTCAGTAAGAACTGGGCCTTAGCCTCTCTTTGACTTTTCAAAAAGCGACCAACACTCCATAAAAACCAGGCCTGTCTTTCCTCTTGCTCGGACTTTGTTGTTAATTGGCCCAAGTGGCAACATCCAAAGCCCAATCTTGAGAGCTTCCTCAAGTCCTCTGGTGAGCCTACAAGCCTCTTCTTCCCTAATCCTCTCTTCATACACATCCTGTTCCCTCATGGCTGATAACTGTGCCAAGTCAACAACACGACATCTTCTGCCTCCTGCAGCTCATTCCCACACTCTTCTCATATGGCTTGACGGTTTGTTTCCTTTTTTGGTAGTGTTCTTTGGGTGGGCGGTATTTTAAAAATCTCCACTGTTTTTTATTCCCAGCTGAAAATGTGTATCTTCTTCCCTTCTCTCCAATTTTAGTGTTTGTTTAGGAATGGATGTGCAAGGAAGAATTTGGAAACATGAAAGCTCATGTTTCGCCCAAGGGGAAGGTGACCACCATCTGGCCCAGGAGAAAATGGAACTGTCCAGTGTAAGGACAGAAAGGCTCTGCCTTGCTCCTCCACTCAAGACACCAATGGGTGGTCCTAGGAGAGAATGCTCAAGAGGATGGGGGCAAACTGAGCTGGATATGTATCAGGTGAGCTGCCAGGGGTGGTAATGACTGGGCCATGGGTCACGTTCAAATGCGGCCTCAGAGCTGTATGCCTATGTGCAGTGTTTGGGGTCCCTCAAACCTTCTTATAAACCTGAGTTATTCATGTCCATTAACTGTCCCCATGATTCTTCACCCCCTGGCCTTCCTCTTCAAGGTGTATGGGATCATTAATGAAATCCGCATTCTCTTCTTCCACATTAGTGCTCTGAAACCAGGACCTCACATTCTACCCACATCCCAGCTCCGTTAAGACGTTCCCTGGGGGCATCAGAAAGCAACCCAATGACATTTCCTAACTTCCAAAAGTAGTGTGATACTTCCAAAAGAAATGGGCTTTACACTTGTGGCTGGGTCACCCATGGGTTCCCTTCTGGCCACAATCTCCGGCCTCCCCTAGCCCCACATCCCTGCGCCCGCCACACAACCTCTGCTGTGCTTCCCAGCAAGTCTTACCTGGTCCAACACCCACTTTGATTATGTCTGCTCCAGAAAGAATAAGCTCTTCCACCATCTCCCCTGTTACCACGTTCCCTGCCTGAGACAGAAAGAACACAGCCCACGATCACACATTATTCCTGGTGATGCAAAGATGAGTAAATGAGCAACTCCACACCTGGACACACAGTCGGACACGTCCTGAAGCCACCAGGCAGTCTTGGCGGCCAAGAGAGGGAGGTCGGGGGAACAATGGACTGAATCCCTGATTCTGGATTAAATGTGAGGTTGGTGGGTCAGGCTGTTCCCCCGGTTTCCTTCCCTACTGACTAGGAACATAGAATCTGACACCTGAGACCACACCGGGGTGAGCTGACAGTAGAAGGTACGCCAAGTGTATAATTTTAGAACTACAAGAGACCGGAGACTATCTAGGGCAGAGCTTCTGAACATGTCCGTGATGGACAAAACAAAATCCTACAGAGATCCCAAATACATGAAATAAGCAATGAAACGCTCTCAGATGATTATCATCTTTATTGTCGGGCATAATATGTTTCAGAGATGATAACCCCTGAAGAACCTTTATGAACTCCAGGGGCTCCGGATTACGAAACCCAGTGATCATCTCAATGATGGGAAATGCCTGGGTGTCCCTCCCCCACCTCAGGGCCGGTGGTTCCCACCTGGACCTGAAAAGGCAGATGAGCCCTTATGGACCAACAACACTGCAGCACACTCCGATTTCAGAACACGAGCTTATGGCCCTAAGAATAAACAGGGAAGCCAGGACGTGGCAGAAGCTTAAAAACCGAAAGAATGCATCTGGTTTGGAGATTCTACAAGTTCTTTCAGTGCAGGAGCAGGGGAGCATGAAAATAGCCCTCTTTATTACGACTCACTGCCCTGTGGATTCTTCAGCTGGTCCATAGGATACTTGGCAAGATGCCTGAATGTTCACAAATGCACAAAATCTTATTTTGGGAAATGCATCCCTATTCATGCTACCACGATGCTTTTTTTTTTTTTTGCATTGAAGCCCCAATGTCTTTTCACTGAATTCATACCTTGGGGGGGGGTATTTTTCTTTTTGAACCTAGACAAAGTGACTTTTAATTCAGTATAAAAGTATTATGGATGAGGAAGGCTCAAAGCTGCTTTAATCCAACAGCCATCTGACAATAGAAAATGCTAGGCGGTCCAGAAAAAGGACCAGGACACTGAGGATACCATGTATGATGAGGGGAGCATTACATGTCAGTGAGGAGCAGAACAAGGTTTCAACAGAGCTGGGGAAAGGGATCTTCTGGAAGCAAGATATAGATTCTCATTCATACTTGTCCCCAAAACTAGATTCATGGATGCAAGGGTTAAATTAACTGAAGCTGTGCCCTTCCAGACTTAGAATACCTTGAAGACCTGTAATAAAAGTGGAAAAAAAGATCTATGTGTATACACACACACACATACTCATATAATCAACAAAAGTAAGAGGCAAATAATGTGGTAGAGAAAAATCCCTGCGATTATGACAAAGGGTTACTAACATTATAAAAGCTCTCCCAAATCTGAAAAAGAAATGCTAACACCTCACAGAGTAATTGCCAAAGGACATGAGCAAACTGAAATAAATAAAAGTGGCCAATAAACACAGGGAAAGTGTTCACCTCACTAATCATCGCATTTATTTTTTTTTGAAAGATTTTATTTATTTATTTGAGAGAGAGAGTTTGCGCAAGAGAGTGGCAGAGGAAGAGGGAGAGTGAGAAGCAGGCTCCCCGCTGAGCAAGGAGCCCGATGCGGGACTTGATCCCAGGACCCTGGGATCATGACCTAAGCCGAAGGCAAATACTTAACTGACTGAGCCACCCAGGCGCCCCACTAATCATCACATTTAAATTCAGATACCAGGGAGGTACTACTTGTCACTTAAATTATCAAGGACAATCATCATTAAATACCGAAGAGGAAACAGACACTATCTTTCTCTGCTGGTACAAGGTCTCCTTTAGTACAAGTTTTCCTGGGAAGCAATTTGTCCATACAGAGCAAATACAAAAAATACATATATCCTTTGATCTAGTGAGTGTACTTCCAGGATCGACCCTCTCTGGAGGGAATAATCATAACTGAGGTCAATGATTTAACTATGAGGATGTATATACTATTTCTAATAGTGCAAAACTGCAAATGTGTTACCCAAAATGGGAATGGTTCAACAATCTGATGTTTTTCAGCTACGTGAGGTTTTTAAGATTGGTCTGATGGTGCAGGAAAATGCTTAACCGCTTTCAGTATCATGTTAGGGGAAAGAGTTTTGTTTAAAACAACAACGAAAAAAACCCCATAAGAATACGTGTACATGAAAACATATACCAGGGGCACCTGGGTGGCTCAGTCGTTAAGCGTCTGCCTTTGGCTCAGGTCATGATCCCGGGGTCCTGGGATCGAGCCCCGCATCGGGCTCCTTGCTCTGCGGGGAAGCCTGCTTCTCCCTCTCCCACTCCCCCTGCTTGTGTTCCCTCTCTCGCTATGTCTCTCTCTGTCAAATAAATAAAATCTTTAAAAAATATATATATATACCAAAATGCTAACAAATTATGTATAAATGAAAGAATTACCCAACTTTTAAAATTTTTCTTTTTCTTTGTAAAGATTTTATTTATTTGAGAGAGAGAGAGAGAGGGCAAGAGGGGGCAGAGGGAGAGGGAGAAGCAGACTCCCCGCTGAGCAGGGAACCTGACGTGGGACTTGATCCCAGGACCCTGGGATCATGACCTGAGCCAAAGGCAGAGGCTTAACTGACTGAGCCACCCAGGTGCCCTTAATTTTTTTCTTTAAAATTTTCTGGATTCTACAGTAGGAACTGCATTACTTTTTTTTTTTTTTTTAAGATTTATTTATTTATTTTAGAGAGAGAGAAAGAGAGTGAACACAAGCGGGAGGGGCAGAGGGAGAGAGAACCTGAAACAGACCCCGAGCTAAACACGCAGCCGGACTCGGGGCTCGATCTCACGACCCTGAGATCATGATCTGAGCCAAAACCAAGAGTCGGACGCTTCACCAACTGCGCCACCCAGGAGCCCCAGGAGCCCCAGGAACTGCATTACTTTTATAATTAAGTCTGATGGTTTTGGGTTTTCAGTTTTGTTTTATTTTAGCACAAGAACCAACGTAAACTTTGTAGCCAAGGGAGAATTTAATAGGAACCTAAGAAACAAGACTCCCAAGCTCTCAATTCTTCCTCACTGCTGGTCTTGTTAAAGAGTAAAACATTTTTTAAATTTTAAAAATAAAATAAAAATAAATTTTAAAAACAAAAACAAATACATACATACATAACTCAGAAGTTACTCTCAGCTCCCTACATAGTTTTGCTTTCAATGTGGATATTTTTTTCCCCTGATCTGGTGCTGCCAACAAATCATTTTACTTTTTAAAGGGCCTACTTTACACAAAATAAATTAATTCAAGTCAGTTCATGATGGATGCACCAGGTCCAACCACATAAGCTCAAAGTAAGTTTTTGGGTTTTTTTTTTAAGATTTTATTTATTTATTTGAGAAAGAGAACACAAGCAGGAGAAGGGGCAGAGGGAGAAGCAGACTCCCCGCTGAGCAAGGAGCCTGACAAGGGACTCAATCCCGGGACCATGGGACCATGACCTGAGCTGAAGGCAGACGCTAACTGACTGAGCCACCCAGGCGCCCTTCAAAGTTAAGTTTAAAGCACGAGGAAGGTGAGCCTGTTCTGGTAGCCCAGAGGCTTGCACAGGTATCCCTGTTCCCCCTCCGCCACACATGTGGCTCTTTAATCAGTAGCTGGAAGGCGGTCACTGCAGAGAAGCTGCCGTATGGAAAACCCCAGAGTGACCAGGAAGCACCTCCAGCCGGAGGACAGCTCGACAAGAATGCTGAAGACAGAGGCAGATCTCATCAAAGTGGACACCGAGAAAGGCCAAAACTAAGAAGGAAAGGGAAAGGCAAAATCAAACACGAGAAGGACAACAGGACATGATCGGGCCCAGGCTTGGCCCCAGGCCCCGCCCAGGAAGCAGTGAATGGGGTGATTCGGGGGCGATTCGGCGGGGATGTGGGGGCGATGCCGGGGCGTGGGGCCGGCCAGGGTGATTAGAGAGGATCCAGCCTATCTGGGCCCGAAGCAGCTCCTGGGTGGCGCAGATAGCATGACCGGAACGTGGCCGCACACGCTCGTTTCCCGGGCATCCGTGACAAAGCGCAAGCTCTGGACCCTCCCGGGGGGCGGAGTCGGTGGGGAACCGAAGCAGGCAGGAATTTCCACCGGGCACCCCTCTCCTGGGGGAGGCCAAGCACCACCCAGGCGCCCCACTCGCATGCCTTGCCGGCAACCACCACCCCTCCAAGGGCAAGGAGAGGCGTGGGGGCCCAGGGAAAAGAAAAAAAAAAAAAGCCACAGGATTAAAGAGGTCCCCTGGGCCAAAACCAAAACCAAGACTATTTTGCCCCCATTTTTCCAGCTTTCCTTTAGATCCAGACATCTAAGGCAAGGTAGGTTCAGAAAGCCCTGGGGTCCACTGGTGACCTTCAGGTCCAGGCAACGAAGAACTCGAAGGCTCCATTTCTCCTGCTACGCTGGGACTAACCACACCCACTTGGTGTGGTCAAGATAGGGTTTACAAAGAAAGTTCGATTCAATTCCTAGTACAGAGCCCAGCTCTCCAAGGGTGCTCAATAAAATGTTTTTAGTCCCTCCACTTAAGAATGCTTTCCATATATTGCTCTTCTGCTCACTTTTTTTTCTTAGACTTAATTATGGTCAAATATCCATGACATAAAATGTATTGTTTTTAGTGATTTTTAAGTGGACAATTCAGTGGCACTGTCGTGCAGCCCTCACCCCCATCCATCCCCACAACTTTTCATCATCCCAAACTGAAATTCAGTACCTCTTCAACAGTAACTTCTCTACCCACTTTTTACTGGCTCTTCTGAGGACCCCTGCCAAGAAAAATCCTTTCCATAGGAGGATGGGAGGCAGGGCTGGCAAACAGCCGCGGGCCGCATCTGGCCTGTGGGCCACAGTGTTCCAGCTCCTGGTATCAGGTGGTGACATGCTAGG